GGAGTGGCTGGTGGGTTTGAACCGCCAGCCGTCTGGTTAGCAGGCAAGTGTCTTAGCCACTATGCTACCAGAGCTCCAGTGTAAGACATCAAAGAATGACTGGATTGGAGAAAAGAAAAATGCAATGCAAAATTCTCCTTCACACAAATCAGTCACTTGTGATCTGATACAAAGAGAATATTCAGTTCCTTAGATGCAAATATTTCAGAATGGGAGTAAAAAAAATCAACACCTTAAAATTTGCTGCTTAAGAATCACCTCATAACATGATGAACTTGGAGGATATTATGTCAAGTGAAATTAACTCAACTACAGAAAGACAAATATTGCATGAGCCTGCCTGTTATTATAAGAAGTCAAGGAAAGATTTGCATACGGAAGGAATTTTTTTTTGCTGGTTACCAGGGAGTGGAGTGGAGTGAAAATTGCTGACTAGTTAAGAGACATGTGTTGATCTGTGTGAAGGGAAAGGCAATTTAACAAAAGTGTGTGACCAGCACAATATCACTAAGGAAAAGGAAGACACAGAGAGGTGTACAAGAGGTACAAACAACAAACAGAGGTAAATACTATTACACATACAATACTACATTATCAGTAATAACAAACATTAACTATGGGTGGATACATAGGTAGACAGGCAAGAAGATCAGGTATAGGCAGGCAAATGGGAATACACTCATGGCCTTACATAGGTTTGGCACATGATATTCCTTTATACGTATTTGTAAATGCTATAAAAATGTCCATATACCTTATAGAGCTAATGGGACAAAGTTAGGAGAACTTCTTAGCCACAACCAAGCACCTTGAGGGAGTGAGTTGCTGGACTTGTAGGCCCAGGACCACGGTCATGGGAAAAATCAAGCTCAACTGGCACAACATAATATACAAAAACACTTTTCAACATCTTACTTTGGTGAGTACCAACTGAGGTCTTAAAAGCTTGCAAGGACTTCCAGTAAGACGGCAGACTGGGCAGAAAGACTGCACAGACCCACTTCAACAAAGAAAAGGG